AACTCAATAGTAAATGGTCGAGGGGGGAATTCCACCTACGCATTAGAATTAAAATTAAATTTATTAAATTAAATGAAAATCACTGCCAATAAATTAAAGTTAATTGAATTATGTTGTGATTTTGATAATCTGATCTTGGATCTTTTACATATGTACCAATTTGTGCGTTATGTAAATGACTATCACCTTGCATTGGTAGTAGACATAGGTTTTTGTGTATTTCAATTAAATTTGCATAGATAAATAATGAAGATAAAGTCATGATCTTATGAATAGTGAATAATGGTCTACAGGAATCTCTAAATAGAACATCTGATAAAATTCTTTTCTTTTTCATTTGGTGGCCGAAAATACCGTTCTTAAGCTATCTTAGGAGAAACAAAGTGGCAGATAATTTATTTGCAACATAATAAATGTGACTCGACCATCCTACTGGAAAGTTCTGTCCATTTCTATGAGAACAAGTTTCGACACGTAAACACATGTTTAGTTGCGCATGTTCAGCTCTCTATTGTTATCGCTTAAGAGTAAACACCTTGAAAATTTATAATTCCTTTTGAGCCTTTATTTTCAGTCCGATTTATGTGAAATTTTCAGGAAACACCAATAATAGCAAAACTTACGGTGGAGAAACTTTTAATTTTTTGTAAAACTTCAAAAAATCATTATTTTGAACATTTAAAAATTCATTGCTTTTATATATTAAATCTATGAAAATTTGCTGCTTCTTGTTTAAGTAAATGTCTTCTAGTTTTTAAATAGCAGGAGTTTCTACCTTATTTTTAACGTCTCTGCCTTATGGTTGTACAAATTTAAAGCTCTCTATATTCTCGAGAACCATAATATCGCGAAATATTCCCAGTGGTGCGCTTATAAATACAATTTTAAATTAGAAAAGTTTTAAAACATTTTTGCTTTCGCAAGAGGTCCAGTTTGCTCTTTTTTTATTTTAATTTATTAACATATACAAACAGACGTAGCATATAAATTAAACCTAAGTTGATTCACGTTAGTCTTAGGTATGAAGCGAATGTGTACCCATGACTACTGATAAAGTTCATTTACGCCATTTTATTTTATATGAATTTCAATAGGGAAGAAATGCATGTACAAATTTACTGAAAGTGTTTGGTGAAGGTACAGTTTCTGATAGGATATCCAGAAGATGATTCGAGAAATTTGAAACAGGTGATTTTGACCTTTCTGATAAGCTAAGTTCTGGGCTTATATCTTTGATCGACGACCATGTTGGAGCAAGAGGCTTTTCTGACAACATCGGAGATCGCAGAAAAGCTTAATTCAGCTCAGCAAACCATTTCGGACCATACTCGGAAGATAGAATTGGTGTCTAAATATTTAAGATGGGTGCCACATGAATTAAGTCAAAAAAAATTGGAGGATTGAGTCGCCATATGCACATCTCTGCTTGCTGGAAACAAAATCGAGCCCTTCTTAAACCGGATGATAACTGGGGATGAAAAGTGGATTATCTACGAAGACATCAATGAGGAAAAGGGCATATTGTAAACCAGGAAAACCTAGATTTACCACCTCTTAACCAAGTTTGATTCTAAATAAGATAATGTTGTATATAGGGTGGGATATTCGAGGACCAATAAATTATGAGCTCCCAAAACAGAACGAAAAGCTCAATTCGGAGAAGTATTGTCAGCAACTGAATAATTTAAAGAAAGCAGTCCAAAAAAAGAGGCCGACGATGTTCATAGGAAGGACATCATACCGCATCATGATAATGCCAGGTCACATACTACTTTGGGTTCTCGTCTCGAGAAACTTCAGAACTAAGCTTGAAAATTCTGTCGAATCTACCATATTCCCCGGGAGTTAGAGAGAGCATTTGCAGACGACATAAGCATCGTAGTAAACGGTAAATTTGGGTCTGCTCTATCTGAAAGGCACTAAATATCGTCGAAAGATGGTGCCCAAAAAAGGAATTGTCCACAAACCTGACAAAACCTCTGTTGTTGTATTCACAAGAAAAAGGAACCTTCAAGGAATGAAGGAGCTTTATATGTGGAGACAACATCTAAAAATGGCAAAAGACGTTAAATATCTTGGAATCACTATTGAAGACAAGCTTAGCTCCTGCAGCCATATAGAAAAAACAACAGAAAAAGCTGTAAGAATAGTATGAGTAGACGGATATTAGGGATCATATGGGGGCTTAAACCAAGTATGATGCCACTGGCTTTACACTATGGTTGCAGTATCTGTTATGTCTTACTCATCAGTAATATGGTGACACAAGATTAGAAGCTAACAGAGAATTAGACAAGGTACAAAAATTGCCCTTTTTAATAATAACAGGGGCATTTAGAACTACGCCCATAGCAACAATGGAGCTACTGCTAGATCTTCCTCCACTACACCTTGTGGTGAAGAAGGAGGCTATGGAGGCGGCATACAGGCTGTTTACTAATGAATTTGGATGGGATCTTTTACAATGATATTAGAGAAATTAAAACAAAATCCGGTACTAAGAATGCCATCGGATAGAACGCCCATTATTCACGACTTTAGGAAACCTTTCGATATTCCAATATTAGCAAAGGACATCAGCCGAGAAAATAGGAAAAAACAAAACGAATCAATCTGGTATACAGACGGTTTGAAAATGAAAAACAGCACGCTGGGAACTACCATGTGAACTCAAGGAGGACCATTAGTCTAAACCTGGGGTCACTGACAACAGCCTTATAGGCTGAAGTAACAACAATAAATACCTGCGCTAAAGTCACGTTAAATGACTCTTTTAGAGATAAGAGGGTCTTTATCATAACAGACAGTCAGACAGCCCTTAAAGCACTGAAAAAGGTAAAAGTACAATCGAAATCAATAATTGATTGCCAACAGTCCCTTCACGCTTTGGAAAAACATAACAAGGTCACCCTTGTATGAGTACTGGGATATGAGGGAGTGTTTGAAAACGAGAAAGCAGACCCTCTAGCAAGGAAATGAGCGAAAAAAACTCTTATTGGACCAGAACCCACATGTGGTATCTCATATAAACATGTTAAAAAAGAACAAATAAATAGAGAACACCATAGGCTCTGGTTAAAACTTCCTCGACTTAGACAGTCCAAAAGATTCATAGAGGGGCCATCCACGAGCAGACAAAATCAACTGCTAAATCTTAGCAGAAGCGAACTCAAGGCCGTAATAGGACTCGTTACGGGACGCATATTTACACATCCTCCTATATGACGGCACCGGAGTACTAAAACCTGTTCGCCTTTGTAGCCTACAAGTACGCTACAAAAGCTCATTCATTTAGACACCCATACAAATTTTATATTATGTGAGACTTTACTTTTCAATTTTAGCTGTGGCCAGGCCGTTGGCGTCTATGCCGGTAGGCGTAGCCAGGTATGGGTTAAAATTTTTGGTGGCGGCGAAGCCACCACCCTACGACAAGTCGTTGCTTCGTTTTATTTTTGTATATTTTCTTTTTTTTTATCCCAAAACACTTTTAATGCGTCATTTGAATGACATCATGTCTATTAACGGCATTTTAGTACACGACCGTTTAACGGCAGTTTAGGTACAGCCATTGTTTCATAGAATGCAGATAAGCTTGCTTACTGATTCCAGCAATAAGAGAAGCCTCATGCATTGGTGCCTAAATCAATGAGCTTTTGTAGCGTACTTGTAGGTTACAAAGGCGAACAGATTTCAGCACTCCGGTGCCGTCATATAGGAGGATGTGTAAATATGCTTACGGGACAATGCGGCCTTAGAAGACACCTACATCTCCTAGGGATATCTGATGACTCCCTATGTAGAATATGTGAAGAGGAGGGCAAAACTCCTATTCACATACTATGCCACTGTCAAGACCTTAAATGAGAACGGGAATGGTACTTCGGGGTACAATATCCGGAACCTGAAGAAATCGTGAAAGCACCCATCAGACATATTCTTGAATTCATCAAGAAAATCAATCTGTTGGGATAAAAACTGTGAGGGCTACAATAAACCTAGGGCTTCAGTACGAGTGGGCTTTGAATCACACCCTAATTTAGATGGATAGATAGTTAGATATTTCCCGAACTTTCAAAAATGGGATATACAAATTGTCCTCACGCTGGCAAGAAGTCATTAATAATAATGGAAATTATATTATTTATTAAAGTTTATTGAAGAATTTGTAATTTGCTTCATTCCAAAAACTGACAGAACTTTCCGGTAGATTCGAAATAAATGACTAAAAGTTTAACTAATTCATAAAAATAATTAGTTTTTTATTGTAAAAAGCATTTTTTGTGATTTTCCACTATTCATGAAAACAATTTGTAGCTTTTGCTTTAATGTGTAATGAATTGTGGATTAGTTCATCAAAATAGAAATATTATAGGGAAACATATTTGACAAAAAGCACACAGTTATGTGGTTTCGTGAACCGTGCAAAATCGTTTGCATGAATTACGAATAGAAGCGATACCACAAGAAATTGTTTTCATAATAAAAAATAAATAAGTTTGGCTAATGGATCTATTTCTGTTACAAACTGTATATATCAAAATTAAAAAAAAAAAAATTAAAAAATTCGCTACAAACTTTTATTCCTCTATCGAGATAAATATTCTTTCAATCTCGAGCTTAAAAAAAACTTTCTACCTCAATGTATTTAATGTAGGTACTATTCTATTTTGATTTTAATATATTTTTTTTTTGTTGTGAAGATTGAGCTATTTGCGAAAACGAATTAATATACTCGTTTTCTTCTTTCATCTTTTTTAAGTAGAAATTTTCTCTCGAGCTTAATAAAAAACTTTCTACCTCAATGTATTTAATATAGGTACTATTCTATTTTGATTTTAATATATATTTTTTTTTGGTTGTGAAGACTGAACTATTTGCGAAAACGAATAAATATACTCCTTTTCTTGTTTCATCTGTTTTTAATAGAAATTTTTATTTTACATACATACAACTTTACATACCTAATGGCGACGCTAGTCCATTAGTGCGTAACCTACTTGTAGCATAAACATTAGAATCTCTTGAAGGAGCACTTAGAAATTCTGAACCTCCTGCCGATCCAGCGTTTGATGGTGGTAAGTAGTTATTTTGTAATTTTTCTGCTAATGCTGATATCAGGAAAAGGGAAAGAATGATCTGAAAAAGAAGGTTTTTTGTGTATATTTTGAAATATGCTGATTGTGTGTGAAATTAGGTTCTTATTTTATGTAATCGCAGTAGAAGTGAGAAAATAAAGACGAAACTAAAACAAGAACCGATAGTACAGAAAATGGAGGACAAACAACGCGAATGGAACCATCATATTAAGAGTTAAAAACCAATATATTTTTAAAAATCAAATAAAATTAGTAGTATACAGTAGATGTTTAAAATATACTAAATTAAATATAATAATGGTAAATCAATGAAACATAATATGCTCAAATAGGTTCAACGAAGAACTTATCTATGAGTTTATTGTTTCATTTCTCATATTATAATTAGGAAAATTAGGACATTGTTTGTTCGGAAGGTGACACAAAACGACAATTTGTGAGTCTGGATAAAATTTTTGGATGGGTTTTCTAGATAAAAAAATTGCCAGTCCACTTATTTTCCCAGTAACAAATATTTGACATTTAATAAAGTGAAAAATTAAATTATTAAAGTAAAAAATTTAATAGTTTTTTTTACTATGCTCCTGGTCATTTGGTCGACAAAATAATAACAAAGTCTACTAGTAACATTAAGGGAATCACATCAAATAAAGATTCTGTCTTCCTCACTCCATTTTCTCACACAGAATTATTAAATTTATTACTTCTGGAGCCGATGACGTACCATGTTTTGTACTAATACAAGTATTATAATATGTTCTTTGAGATGGGCAGTTTTTCTCAAGCTTTAAAACAGGGGAAATTTTAACAATTGCATAAGAAAAATAATCGTAAACAAATAAAAAACTATAGACCTGTTGCTATTCCCTGTGGTCTATCTAAAATCTTTGAGTATACCTTTTTTTTTTTGAAAGAGTAAAACCAAATTTGGTAGATTTTCACACTTTTATTTTAAAAATAAAAATTTTTAAACAAACACTAACATGACATATGTTTCGAAGTACAACTTCTTTTTCAAATGTGGTTTTACTCTTTCAAAATTAAATGGATTTTCATCAAGTAAAGGCCGAAACAATAAATAGAGTATACCTTTCTTGACTGTCTTCTGTCTTTCTTGAAAAGGTACAACATTACAACAGAAAATCAGCATGGATTCTGTGCTGAAAAATCAACAACAACTGCTATGCTTTCATTTTATAATAAAGTTATTCACCAATTGGAGGAATCTGAATGCCCAGCTGCTATCTTTTGTGATCTCAAAAAAGCATTCGATTGTGTAAACCATGAGTTGCTATTAAATATATTGGAGAAATATGGAATCAGAGGCACTGTTTTAAATTGGATCTCAACCTTTTTACGTGCTAGGAAGCAATATATTTCTTTAAAAGTACAAAACGACAACAAAATCAATACTATTAATTCTGATATACTAGATATTATTATGGGAGTTCATCAGGGTTCCATTTTGGGACCCATATTGTTCATACTGTATGTAAACAATGTTGACTCATTAATAGGTGGTAATCATTATGTAAGCTATGCAGATGATTTCTCGGCTAAAAATACGGATCTACTAAATAGAAAGAGCTCCAACATCGCTTATAAAAATTCAAGTTACTTTAATAGTCTTGATTTAATTTTTAATGCTAATAAGACTGAGGTAGTTAGATTTAATAACAGGCAACATAACGTTGAGCCACTAGAGATTAGTTTTGAAAATGTTTTTCTTAATAATGGGAATGATAGCATTCGCTTTCTAGGAATCCAAATAGATCAATACCTTAATTGGAAAGACCATTGTAGAGGACTAGTCAAAAAAAATTAACTCGCTAAAGTTTCTTTTTATAAATTTACGGTCTATACTTGAAATTCGTCAATTAGTTTTGGTGTATTTTGCACAAGTAGACTTACGTCTAAGATACGGTGTATGCTTGTGGGGAAATTCAACCTACTCTAAAAATATTTTTCTTACTCAAAAAAGGGTCCTGAGAAGCATGGCTAAGATCTCACAAAGAGGCTTTTGTCGACCATACTTTGAGGAATATGGCATATTATCCCTTTGTTGTATGTTTATTTTTGAAATGTGCCTATACAGAATTTTTTGTAACTAATAGAAATGTACACAGGTATGAAACCAAATAGGATGACGAACTACATATACCTTATGCACGACTCAAGAGAACATCTAATACCTTAGTAGGTTTCACTTAATCAAAAAAAATTAGCATTGATAAAAAATAGTATGATTAATCATGTCAAATATTTTAGAGTAGTCTAGAAGAATTAACACTGATATTGATTGATTAATACCAATGTTTTGTTATTGTCCAAAGCCTTCAAAATATGATCTATAACATCAGAAAGTGCAGTAGCACAGCTATAACCATATCTAAAACCTGACTGTAAAATTTTATTAGTATTTAAAAAATGGGTGATCTGTTTTGTAATAATAATTTAAAAAAATTTAGAAAAAACACGCAGAACACTAATATATCTCAGATCATTGAAGTTCTTAGGACAACTAACTTTGGATACTGGTATAACCTTAACAAACTTTCAAGTTTGTAAAAAACAGTTGTTAGAAATACATTCATTTATGATGTGAGTGACTACAGGTCTAATTGTAGAACCGCAGAGATGAGCTATATGTATATTTATAATCCCGAGTCTTAATATTATGAATAATTGCAAAAACTGTATCTTCATCAATCCAATCAAAGTTAAATTCGTAGTCAATGTTATTATTTACATTATTTAAATAAAAATTTACTGTTTCATCATTGACAGGAAGTACCTGAGCAATATTAATAAAAAAGTTATTATTCTCGTCAACTGATTTTAACTTTGTAGCAATCTCAATATTTTTCTGTTCAATATATTTAGTTTTTTAGTTTTGACCATTTTTCTTTTGTATTACAATTACGGAATTTAAACTCAAGATAGGCTTTTTTCTGCATTTGTAACATAATTTCTGAACTGTTTATAGTAAGACCAATTTCGAGGAGACTGTGTTCTCCTAAATTTTTGTAGAGCTTTATCACGAATATTTTGTAAAAGTTTAATATTGTCTGTAATCCACGGAGCGTACCTAGTAGAATTTTTTTGGATTCGTGACCTAAGTGGGGTATGTACATTCAGAACCGTAATGATATTATAGTTCAATTTTTTTATCAATCTCATTAGTATCATAAATTTCATTCCAGGGCATCATACTTAAGTCATAAAAAGTTATTGTAATTTATATTATTGAGTGACCTACAAAATATCTTTTTAGGGTTGCATATTACTTGAATTTTAACCTTAATTATGCAACTTATGCCTACGTTGTCCGCATCTAAATTTAAATATAAAATATGTTGCATATCACATACCGATTATTGCTTGTTTTTTATAATTTTTAATGTGTAGACAAGAATTAAAGGAACATCTAGTAAAAAAATACTTCTTTTATCAACTAAATCAACTAAAAGTTAAAATTTTAAAAATTATTTTATTAAAAAAGGTATGATTATATAGTTTTATAATTTTAGTCGTAGAAAAAATATTTGCCTTTCTTGTGCGAAAATCTTTGGTCATCTCGAACGATTTTTTAACTCGGCTACGTCTCGTCAAAAAAGTTCGTTCTTGTTCACCAAAGTAGTATTTTGCACGCCATATACACAAATACCTATTCATTTTCATATCTTGTGAGATCTAAAGAACTTGTTTTGCTTTAGAAAATTAAAACAAAATTCTTATACAATATAAATAAAACTTACCAACTTCATCTTGTTTATTTACACTTCTAGAACAATTTCTATGATCTAGTAACCCGAACTGAAGTGAAGATCTCATTTTTTGGTACATCTTTATATAGTAAAATATTTTTGATGTTTCTATAAAAGAACAATTATATTTTGGGAGCAAAGACAAGGTTGCACAATGGACAAACATAAATCCAAGGCCTGCTCGACATAATCCTATCAACGCGATCATCTTCATCTGTTTTTGGGTGCGATTACGTTGACAAGGATGACTTTGATTATGATCTGATAATCGGAGATTGGCTTTAGGCCTGTACAAAGAGTACAATAGTCAGACTTATTAAAATTTTAACTACTTTCTCTTAAAAATTACAGTTTAAATATCAAATATCAAAGTTTAGTTTTATTATATCAATAGAAAGGTTTAATTCAAAATTATAAAAAATATAACGAAATTATTATACATAGTGAGTAATAATTATGAGGATATGGGATAATCACAGGTTATTTGGGTCAAAATAGGAGGATTGGACCAAACATGATTCTGTGGAAAATATACAGGGTGAAATATTATTTTTGATTATTTTTTATAATAATTTCATAACATATTTATAAATCGTTTTCAAAATTTGTCATTAACAAGACGAACAGGCATATCTTAAAATTACAAGTTTTGAGTAATTACAGTTTAAAAAATTAAATTCAATCTGGATTTTTTAACTTTAAAAATTGCTTAAAAAATGCTAATAACATAAAATGTTGTATCAATGCCAATATATAACGTGTGTAAATGTATATAAATTCCGAAAACGCCTTTTGATGGACCTAACTCAAACCCACGCATTTTTGAGATACGCCCCTTCGTCAGGGCATAATTTTAGACACAAAATATAATTTTACCTACGATCACAATAAAAGTAGGCTTTTGTGCTTCGAAATACAACCGCAAAGTTGATGTTTTCCGCGAACTGACATTAAGTGACAGCTTTGTTGCTCACCTAATTTAAATAATATAATAAATATACCTTATTAATAAATAATTTTCAAGTTATTTGTAAGTATTTTAATGTATTATTGTTAACATTGACTTTGAATAACAACTTCGTTTTTCATGATTAACTTAGATATAGGCAACACATTATACACTATTTACGACAAATTTTCAGTTTTTATATCTATTTCTTAAAATAATGTGATTGTAGAATAAATCTTTTGTGTATTTTGATCTAAACGTTTGTTGCCGCTTTCAACAGATTGTTGCCCTTCGCTACGCGCGGCTAACTTTCTGTCAAGTAAAAACGTATAACTTTTCGCTCTTAATGCACAAATAGCTATTTTCCATACCTACATGAATATTAGCTAGTCTCCGCACAGACTTCAAAATAAACATATATTTCATATCCATTTTACCTAGTAAGAACACTGCACAAATATGAAATACACCAATTACAGTTCATATTTTTGTCATCCGGTGCAATATGATCTTATTATTTTATCTATTTTTATAGTGTTTTTAGCTCTATGATTTTGGGGAGTGGGTCAGGTTATTAAACAACTCGTATTACTTTGAAAAAGAATGTTGGACGCCACTATATTTAAACTTTCTAAACTTGACAAGCAATTAATGATGAAAATATAGAAAATCACTAACCATAATGATATTATAATTAAATAAGGTAGCGACAAATTCTAATTCACAGAGACTTAATTATTCAAATTTAAATGATTTATTAATAACTTATATGTTGAATCAGAGGTAACATTTAAGGAGTGACTGTAGAGGCCCTCTTGTTAAATTTTCAAAGGGAAAGTGAAATCTCGTTAACTTCTTTCGGTGGTTGAACTAAACTTCTTGATGGCAGCTTGTACGTTCTTCCAAATTTCTAAACATGCAGCTTTCTAAAATTCATCTAGATACAGCTTATATTAAACCATCTATATCGTTTCTATCGAACCATCTATATAGTTTCTATTGAACTTCTACTGAAACCATCTATATACAACTTCTATAGGACCATCTATATAGAGCCAGGCTACAAGGGAAAAGGTAAAAATATAAAGAAAGGAGTCAGGAAGAGTATATAGGAAATAGATAATGCTTTTTACTATCTAATGCACAATTTAATACTATTATTTGAATAGCTTCACAGAGACCAAAATTAATATAAAAAGAAAAAATCTTATTTAACATATTTAAATATAGTAAATCATATCATCTCTTCCAAACAAAATAATAGACAAAATTATATAAAACATGTGATTTCTTGTGTGATTCAATGTGTGAGTTTTGACACAAGGCATAAACGACAAATGACGTTTGTGTAGAGATGGTGGTTTCAAAATAACGAAAACGGTTACAACCGTTACAATTTCTGGGACTTAATAATGAAAACGGTTACAATTGTTACACCAGCTAATATTTTTTTTTATTTTAAATAAGTGTTAATTCTGTCAAACTATGTGGCAGTATATTTTTTATTTATTGATATTAAATATACATTAAAATAAATTATTCTTGTGTAGAATGGATAAATAATAGCATTTCTCTTTTTATTATTATCTTTGTATCATACATGATTTGTCTAAAATGGACCGTAATAGAAAAAATGATGGAAAATTTTAATTTTTCAATATTTTCGTTAGCAATAGACATATATTCGAGTAAGATGTGTGTGGAAACTGAATTTATTTAGTTTATCCTCAAAATATTTACAGGTGTAGTACACTAGGTTATACAAAATAACCGGGAAAAACATGTAATAACTAGACAGGAAAGTCATGTGCTGGATACATCAGATTTTTTTATGGTTAATGAGTGATATTGGATATCTAACAAATAGATAAATGGGCTAATACCCTCTCGTTTGGACTCATTGGGCCCATAATATTCGACGTTTGGGCTCATACCGTTTTCGATATATGGCCTTCGGAAATAAGCGATTCAATCTTAACGGTATCATCGAAACGAATGGGCTGGTCATTCAAATCATTAGGTTTGATTAAGTTAGCAATGGGCTAGGGCCCGCGCTTAGCACTTTTGGCGTCCATGAGCAAATTTAAAATAACTCCCCAAATTTGTATTACGTTCATGTGTGTGCAGATACGGGTTAAGTAAGTTAGTATTATCCATTATTGAAAAATAATTTTAAAAAGTATTTTCATAAATTTATTTTCATTTTTATATTTTACAAGTACAAGCCATACAAGTATTTTCTCATTGAGATACATAACATAATTATAAACTTATAGAAAACAGAAATATATTCTAACAATATTACAACTCAAAATTTTGGTATTTTAGTTTCAAATGTAATATATGCTACAAAAGCGCAAGAAATAAGAAAAATATTTACAACATTAAAAATACTCGTTTATATAACACAGGACGAAACTGATCGACAAATATAAATAAAGCAATATATTATTTTAATAATGCAACATGTCACCTTTAAAGGGTTATTATAATATCCAGGTATTATGTATTGTTATAAATATTTTCATATGCCGTACATGGTACATTACCTATTTAAAATTAAGGTGTGGAGAAGTACAAGGGAGAGGGTTGACACATAACAGATGTCTGTATTGTAAAAATGTTTTTAATTTGGAATAAAAATCGACCTGTTTTAGCATTTTCTTAAAATACAATGATTAATGCTGAAAAACAGGATGAAACTGTTTTAAGTGACCCATTCTGTATATTAAAAATGGCTGGATATATCGAATTATTTCATAAAACAAAATCTGCTTAAAAATGCATTTGTTATAAGATGCGCTACACAAGAAAGATCCTCCCATCGAAAAAAATTTATTGAGCGCAGCGCCATCTACATAATAACCTATTTAAAATCAATTTATATCTAAAACTGAAGCACTCTTAATGCTCTGTGAACTGGCTTTTACACAATCAAAATATCTCTATTACTTACCAAAATATCCGGCCTGGGACTTTTTATTGGTATACCCTGTATACCGTATTGTACATAATTTCCAATTTAAATATTTTTCCAGTACTAGTAAAAGGTAATACGTACTTTAATTTCATTTAGTGGAAATTTTAGTCTTATTTATTATTAAGTTTATTTAAAATTTATTTTCTATGTATAACTTTGATTCCATTTATTTTCTTATATTTTATTACCGTCATATTTAATCAATTTTTATTACTAAAAATTAATTTTCCGTATACAGAGAGTTTTATAATTTCCGGACCGATTAGCCTCCTGTGCTATCGGACCGTAATTATTTCCCTATAGTAACTTTTTTAATTGTAATAATTTATTTTTAATAAATTTTCCGTATACAGGGAACCATAAATATTTAACTAATTTTCAATTATTATAATTTATTTTTAATAAATTTTCCGTATACAGGGAACCATAAATATTTAACTAGTTTTCAATTGTAATAATTTATTTTTAATAAATTTTCCGTATACAGGGAACCATAAATATTTAACTAGTTTTCAATTGTAATAAATTATTTTTAATACATTTTCCGTATACAGTGAACCATAAATATTCAACTAGTTTTCAATTGTAATAATTTATTTTTAATTATTTTTCTGTATATAGGGAACCGTAATTACTTTCCTGTAACCTCATTAAATTGTAATAATTCATTTTATTTAATTTTCCGTTTACAAACGTGCCAAAACCGTGCACTATCACCATTGTATTTTTCTGTAAATATATATTTTATTTTCTACTCCTGCATTTCTTTCAGAGTACCGTAAGGTACGAGGTGTAAAGGAGATAAGTGTTTTATTTTTATTTATTCTAGTTTAGTGGCTACCTAGTTAGCAGTGACCACCTGGAAATATTTTTTAAATCCACTGAGTTTACCTTGGGTACATTCTGGTGTACTACAGGGTCACAGAGCAAACTTGTTACCAAAACTGGCGCCTGAGCCACCCCTATTCGGGAATCACCATCTTAGCGCCACATAGACTCCCTGATTCACTGTAGGCGAACCAGAAGCCTGTCACAGTTTAGACTAGTTTAGTTTGGGATAGATTAAGTTAA